GTGTGTGTGTGTGTGTGGTCGTGAGTGCTTGCTTGCTTGCTTGCTAACTTGCTTTAGTCTACGTGTTCACCAAAATAAGATCATTTCCAGGCCAGGCAAATGTACGAAGTTTTTGCACGGTTTAGAATCGACTCAAAAAGATCCACGTCCGACGACATCAGACCAGCTAAACCTATACTTAGCCCTGTGTGTTATGATTACGAGAACAACGGACAGCACTGGCGATTTATTTACCACTTTAAAAGACTAAAAAGCAACAAATTATAATTATGGGAAAAATTGTTGGTAAGTTGGGGGGATGAGAAGAAGGGGGGAAAAAAGCTGGGACTGGGATTCGAACCCACACTCACAAAATAATATTTGCGTTTCAAACACAGACACATTGTTCACTCGGCCAGCAGAACTTTCATCAGCGAAGGGTAGATTAAGCTTCCTATTTACATCACTGTTTCAGGTAAGGCAAAGCGACATAATAAATCGAGATGTAGATCTAGAATCTAGGCCTAGATCTAGTGGACCGACAGATAAGATCTGGAGAAAACTAAAAATTGGCGGAAAATTGGAAGCACTAAAAATTAGAGAACGTAGAACTAGACACGTCCATAGCTAGATTCTAGGTCTAGCATGGCCTATTTTTAGCTCTCCCGAGAACGAAATAATCTAGATCTAGATCTAGCTCAAGTGCTTTGATTTCTATTTTTTCTGCTGTTTTTCCAGCACTAATCTGCTATTGTACAACATTATTATAATGAGATACAACTTTATTCATCATGTAAAGTGCTATGAAGAAGCAAAAATGTACTTAAAGATGCAAATGTCCTTCCAAACTGAGTCGAATCGAGGCCAGAGTACCTACTTAATGTATTCATAGGTCAAAATGGACACGTGACTCAGCCTTGTTGGGATTGGCTGCAAACCACCCGATCGCGCGATTCGCAGGCCAGAAAACAAACGCGTTTGTTTTTGTAGGTCACCGATCGCGTCGATCGGTTTGTGCCACGATGGCCGCTTTGCGCCCTCAATTTGGCTAGCCCTGACTACCCGATGGGTCCGACCCGACCCGACCCGATCGCGTATGTGGGCACCCCCTATTATTAGACTGACATCAAGTGTCCTTCGTAGCATAGGACTTGATGAAAAGGACTTTAAAAATTTTAGACCAGTTTCAAATCTTTTTTTCCTTTCCAAAATTCTGGAAAAAGTTGTATCTAATAGACTGTTACATCATATTAAAACAAATAATCTTAGCGAAGTCTATCAGTCAGCATATAAGGCACACCATAGTACCGAGACAGCGTTACTCAGGGTCTGTACTGATATTTTAAAATATATGTATGAAAAAAAGGTATGTCTTCTTACTCTTTTGGACCTTTCGGCTGCATTCGATACCATTGATCATGATATTTTACTCGAGAGATTAAATACTACTTTTGGCATAAAGGGTACTGTCCTGCGATGGTTTGAGTCATATTTTAAGGATCGAACACAAGCAGTTGTGGTTGGAAACACGTGTTTTAATAATGTTTTGCTTAGATGTGGTGTTCCTCAGGGGTCTGTTCTTGGACCTGTCTTGTTTACAATGTATACACAACCTATTGCTGATATTTTAAGACAATATGGCATGAATTACCATCTTTATGCTGATGACACTCAAATTTATAAGTCTATTTATTTCGATCAAATACCACTTTTAGTCGACTCTACTGAACAATGTACTAGAGATTTAAAAATATGGATGACCAGCAATAAATTGAAACTAAATGATGACAAGACGGAAATAATGTTGAGTGGAAATACAAAAGCCATTAAAAATCTCCCAGAGCTACAAATTGATATTAATAACCATACCATTCGTTCAAAAAGAAGTCTTAAAAATCTAGGGGTTCAGTTGGATTATGATATGTCTATGTCCTCCCAAATAAGCCAGCTCAGCAAAAGTATTTACTTTCAGCTTAAGAAAATTGGCAGTGTAAGAAATTATTTAACTAAAGCAGCAGCCAAGACACTTGTAACAACACTCATTTTATCAAAGTTAGATTACTGTAATGTTATTTTGACCGGTTTGACATCCGAAAAACTATCAAAGTTACAAGTACTCCAAAATCAAGCAGCAAAATTGATAATGAAACAAAAGAAATCAGCCCACGTAACACCAATTCTGAAAGAACTACACTGGCTGCCAATAAAAGAAAGGATTAAATACAAAACTGCCGTTCTCTGTTTTAAATGTATAAATGATAGTGCACCTTTTTATCTTAAAACATTCCTGGAATTATATAATCCACCTAGAGCCCTTAGATCAGCCTCTGACAATCTAATTCTTAAAACTCCAAAACAAAACTACAAAACATACGGCGAGCGTTCCTTTTTGTTCTTTGGTCCCCAGGTATGGAACGAAATCCCATATAAAATAAGATCTGCCCCAACAATTTCCATTTTCAAAAATCAGCTGAAGCATTTTTTATTCACAAAAGCATACCTGTCATAATGATGTTCTGTGATATATATGCATGTGTATGCCAGACTGTGAGACTGAAGAAATAGCGAGTGAGAATGAGAGAGAGAAAAGAGAGAGATAGCGAGAGAGGGAGAGAGAAAGAGAGAGAGAGATAGAGGGAGAGGGAGAGAGAGAGAGGGAGAGAGA